CGATTGGAAGTCCCACCTGGATAAGGTCAGGGAGGAACCGAAGAGACCTTCTGATGACAATGTTTTCTCCAGGAAGATCACTTTTGCTTCTCTACAAAGAAAACAGTTAAAGGCAATTTGGATGTGGTGGTGGTTTGGGGATTCTTTTGGTGTCTTCCTGTTCTGTCTGTCTCATTACAAAATGGTTGAAGAAAACCTCACAGTGACGATCTGGACTTACTGTATAAAGAGAAAGAGAAAGATGAATGGTAGGAAAGGCCATAAAAGGACCTTGACAAGAACTGATCTCTCCTGCCAGTCAGGACGTTAGGAAGAGCCCATTTGCTCAAAAGAGGATAAAGAGAAAGAGAAAGATGAATGGTAGGAAAGGTCATAAAAGGACCTTGACAAGAACTGATCTCTCCTGCCAGTCAGGACATTAGGAAGAGCCCATTTGCTCAAAAGAGGAGTCAGTGTCCCAAAGGAATTTTGTCCAAGCAAGCAAGCAAACAAGCAAGCAAGCAAGGCGTGTTTGATATAAAGGGCTCCTTCCTAGTCACAGACATGGCTTCAGTAGATGTTCTTCTAGACACAGAAGCTGATGATGCAACTGGTAGGACCCTCTTTTATTTAATGTACTTGACTGTAATAAGTTTCATCTGATCTATTTTAGGACTTAATGGACTTCTGGTGAAAAGTTGAGTCTCTGGTGCCAGCAACTGTGACTCAAATTATACTTGTTTACGCCAGCACCCTGAACTTTATGCATATAGAATGCACTGATGGGCTGCCCCATGCCTTTGCATGCCTTTAAGCAGATTTACACATACTAGAGAAACACACACATGGACACAGCGATCTGCTGTGTTGGTTTTGTGTGTGTGTGTGTGTATGTGTTTTAGGGGATGGGGCAGCTCTCATGATCTGCTGTGTTGGTTTTGGGTGTGTGTGTGTGTTTAGGGGATGGGGCAGCTCTCAGTGGCAGGAAATGTTGGGTGCAGTTGAAAATGTGCATTTCGAAAAGAAAGATTGATCAGGGTGAATGACTCTAACTTTGTCCTATTTGCCTGTTAGGTTAACTTTTCTACAAGTTGCAGAGGATACATAGAAGGCATAAGGATTTTGATGCATTAATAATTCAGGACATTAAAAAAAACCACTTGATTCACCAGCATTGATCATTGGGTTAGAGCAGAGGCAGGCACAGTATAGCCCTTTAGATGTTATTAAACCACACCTCCAATCAGTGCTAGCCAGCACGTGAAAGCTGGTATTTGCAATCTAGTGATATCAGTATTGGCTATCCCTGAATTAGAGATACAGTATCATGAATTTCACCCAGGATGATTCAGTATTACAGAACATTGTAAGTCAATACGCCATAATTATTTCTTATGGCAGAAAACTTTCCTTTGGTTGAAGCAGAGGATTTTTGTTTCCAGTCATTGCCCTTTTTAAATGCTTTTAATTATTATTGTTATAACTGTTCTTGTTTGGGAAAATCTGCCTATAGAAAGGAAGGAAGGCCAAAGCTTTCATCCTTGGCTATCTGGAAGTATATCACCTCTCCTGATATTATGTCCCTTTGGACCCACCAACACGAATAGATGCTACTGTTAACCATAGCTGGAAACAGATACGATCAAGTGATGATCATCCCTTGAAGCACTCATCAAGTAGTTTTGGATATGTAGGGATATGATGACCACACAAAAGGGAACATGTGTCTCTTTTCTTACACACACCACAAAATACTTCCAAGTGGAAAATTATGTGTGCTCAATATATATGTGTTAAAGTATGACTGATTAACATATGCCTGTTTCTCTGAGCAGATATTTTTCTGCCAGACATGGTGAAATAGACATTTGCACATTTGTTGCATGTTACAGAGTGCATGTGCTTGTAACTCGGAAATGAAATTGGGAGTGGTAGGATATTGCCTTGTGTGGTAACCTTGCATACCTTTATGTGCTATTTGTGGTACAGGAATAAGTCTGAAGGTGAGGCCAAGATATTACACCTCTCTTGTAGGTTGTGTTGGTGAGCAGTTTGGTTGGTTGGGTCCAGGTCAGGGAGAAGCTAAAGGAAAGAAGAAGAGTGTCTGTGTGATAGGGAACTTTGCTTCTTCACCACCAGAGGAAAAAACACTGTTCTTCCAAAATGTCTGCCATTCAAGGGGTACAGGCAAACACCCATAATTCAGTATGTTCTAATTTGACTTGTTTTGTTGTTTTTCTGTTTAAAGTTTAGAACTCCCTTTTTTCTTCTTTTTCGGAGACTGCTGTTCAGAGAACAGGCCTTTTCTGGACTTTCCAGAAACAAAACCTCAGATTGAAGAATGATGATGCTTTGGAAAAGTTATGTTTTTTGGAGTACAGTTCTTCAGCATTCCCAGCCAGTGTGGGCACTGGGGAATTCTGGGGGTTGTAGTCTAAAAAAGTTAACTTCTCTAAGCTTTTAAAAGATGTTAGAGAAGATAGCGCACAGGGCCCATCAAACTGAACAGGTGGATAATTATGCCTTATGGCCTGTCAGGAGCTTGTTGGATTTGCTATCCTGGTTTCCTGAGACTGCAAAATTGGGGATGTGGTCAAGAACCCCGAAGACCACGAGTGCTCAAGGACTTGGCAGACTTCACTTGTGGGATTGTGTTCATCTTGGTGGGTCACAAACTCCCCATCGCTTTATTAGGAGTATCCCACGTGTATTATTCTTGGAAATTAAGCATTAGGGGTTTGTGAAAATGAAAAAAGTGGCCATGGATGATAGTATAAATATACTGTCTTACTACTTTTTTGATTACTAATGCATCCTTATGCCTTCATTGTTATTCATGCAAAGAAAGGGATGCATCAAGAACAAAGGAATGGAGCAGTTGTAAATTCCATTATATGGATGAGTTATTCAATTACAAGCTTAGAACACCCACACATATGTATCTGTCTCACTAGTTACCAGATGTGCATTCTGCACATCCAAAAATTTCTGGTTTGGGTGGACATGAGTTAATTATTTAGAATTTTATTGCAGTGGATGTGATTGCTGCTTTCAGTCATCATTTCTCTCTTGCTACTCTCTTTTTTCTTTCTGTGTGTCCTGTTTCACAGAGATTGTGAATGGCTACCAGGCAAGGTTGACTTGTGGTTCAGGGAGAGGATCTCTCCCCAGAATTTTGGAAGGAGGCACCTCCTTTCTCAATTCATGACTTACCTGTTCTGTCATGACTTCTTCAGTTGTCTACTGCATCATCTGCAGAACACACCAATCTGGGCAAATCCTTTCTTTTATGTACCTAGATTCCACTCCCCCATCATGCTTTCTATAGTTCAAGTATGAATTTTGAAATTTACAGAGAAATTGTATCAATGTACAACAAACTCAACTACTGTATATATAAAATGAAAAACTATTTTTTAAAAAAAAATTATTTCAACTAAAGTTTTATTTTTTAAAAAAATAGTTTATATGGCCTCACAAATTACATTATAATTCTTGTTGTCAGGTTGGAACCACAGAAAACCACAACAACTAATAATACAGAGCTATTTCAGTACGAGTTCCCAGTGCATTGTAGTGGATAGAGTGATAGACTAGGACCCTGGTGAACAGTGTTTGAATCCCCACTTAACCATAGAAACAGACTGGGAGAATGGAACTGGTAAAACCACTCAAATATCTCACTTACCTTGAAAACCCCATTAGGATCACTATAAATTGGTTTCAACTTGACAGCACATAACAACAATATTTCAGTATTATTTTATCCAGTGTTGTCAGCATGATCAGAGTGGAGTGCATAGACCCACTACTGCCATTATTTTGTTCATATGAGCAATGATGAGTTTGAAGAAGAGAGGTTTCTGCTTCATGCAGAGCTTACACAGACACAAGAACATTTCCTCAGGATTTCAGCCATTCTTCATGTGGGAGCAAAGAGATGATGGAGTGAGTAGGGCTAGGAACTTCAGTGTTTTTTTTATGAAGTTGAGTGAAACTGAAGAGGTCTAGTGTTATGTAACTTCTTCATTTCATTTCCCTTAGAATTTTTTAAACTAAATAAATATATTGGACCTTGGGATACATAATCCATTTTTCACAACAACTGACCAGAATTGCTTTAAAAAACCCCAATAAAAACAGGAGCTTCCAAAGTACAGAATTAAATCTGTGCCCTGGTTCATGTACATCAGACATAATACTAAGCATATTGAAATCTGATTAAGTTGAGATAAAGCTGATCAAGACTGATTCTTTATCCAGAGGCCAGTCCTCGAATTGCAAACCATGGTTTACTTCACTCCAAAGAAACCAGAGTTATGTGTGCATCCAGTCTTTACAAGCAACAGATACAGCACTCTAAAGCAAAATTTACCTAAGCAACATGATCAGTAAGATCATATATTACAGGTTTTCTGGATGGAATCATTTCAGAGTGAAGTGGCAGGCCTCTTATTTGAATGGCCTCATATTTAATATGTTTTATCTCCTTGATAAGAAGTTTTAGGTGGTAGGGCATTCAGCTTTTCAGTCTGCCACTTCAAATCTATACCATGTTGGTCCAGCAACAGTTGATAGTGAAGCTTGGCTTTCACTTAATTCTAATGAACTGGAAGACTCATTAAATAAATACGTAAAAATCTATATATGTTTCCAAATTAAATGTTATAGTCAAGCAGTTAAAATACTCTTGATCCTCTGGACTTGCAGAATTGGACCTTCTTTTCTTCAAATACAAGTATGATGTTTTGGGTAGCCACATACATCTCCTGGTTGATAAGTAGTTTCCCTCACCCCTTTGTACTGCTATTTGTTCATAGACAAATACCAGATGCAGGGGCTGAACTCTCTTGAGATAACCAAACTGCCACTCACCCTTGTTGTTCTTGATGTTCTATTTTTAAAATTGAATTACATTTCCTGTAGAGTACTTTGGCTGATTTTTATGATATAATTTTTATATATTTTTTTTTCTTGTTGCCTTGAATTTTGGAGTAAGAAGGTCCTTGTCCTTATTCCAGATGTCTTTAGAACTACTTCTGGCTATTGTCGGGAAAATGGAGTTCTGAAGAAGTATCCGGATCATTACAAGCAGGATTCTTCCTGTAGAAGACCACCTACTAACACGTGAACTCAAGATGAGAATGGAAGCGGATGACAATGAACATTTGTATTTCAGGCTTGTCTAACATCTGGTAGCTTAACTGGTAAGCGTATTGTGTGTGTTGTGGGGGCCCTTTATCTGAGACTGCAATCCTATATCTGTTTTCTTGGGAATAAGCCCCAGTGAATTCAGTGGGAATTATTTCTTAGCAGACATGTATAGGATTGTGATGTGAGTTGTTAAATTTTCTCTGAGGATGGATAAAACAGAATAAAAATGTATTTTCTAAAATGTATCTGCTGTTCATTCTAAAATATGAAATTTCTTGGTAGTTCATTGTAAGTAATATGTTATCACAAAAAGAATTAAATTTGTAGCTATCATTTTCAAAATTGGAATAAGGGTGCAACCCTTACTTCTCTCATTGCCTTGGTTTTTGAACTGATAGCTGGATGAAGTACCGTACTTGCCATCTGTTGGTTTCTCCCTGCTTCTCTCCCATTGCCATTATTCCCTTTTTATGAGGTTCACTTCTGTAATCTTATAACGCCTTGTCATGTTCTCTTTCTGAATTTTTGTGACATTGAGCAATGACAACCATGGAACTTTCTTTTGCTCTTCTTCTCATGAGCGCAACTATATCAATAGTATATTACTAGAATTAAATTTTCCAGTTGGGAGAAGAAAGATCAATAGACACTTCTTTTGGCAGTATCTATCGGCAGTACCTTTTGGCAACTACTGTTTTTTGTTGACCTAGTTTTCCCCTTTATATTATTGATATATTGTCAATGCTAATCAAAGCATTAAATTTAATATTCCACTCTGAAGTAATGTGTGCTAGCATGTTTTCAGGAAAAGGGAATTGATTCAGTTTTCAAACATTAGACAGTGATATATTTATATGATTTTTTAAAAACACAGTACACAAACACATGGTGCAACATGGTCCTACATAGCAAAACTTGGAAGTAAGTCCTGCTTAGTTCAGTGGGGCTTGCTCCTCAGTATGTATAGGACTGCAGTCTCAGGCTGAAGTTCTGTACCCACTTACCCTGGGAATACACCCTATTGAATTCAGAATAATTTATTTCAGAGCTGATGGATGTGGAACTGTGCTTTTGGTCCCATATAAGCTATGTTGAAATTAAGAACTCCTTTTATAATGCTTTAGACTTTTGTAAAATAGAGACAGCTTACTCATTACTAAAAGGGGAGGTGTAGCATCCCTTGCAAAAAGGGCAGAAGAGGATGCATGTTAACAAAAAATATATATATTTTAATTTGAATCAAGCAAATTGTAAAAGAAATTCTTCACCAGCTGACCCATGTGACCGTTCATTCTTCAGTCTCAGTTTTAGCTCTTGGGAGGCAATTTCCTAATGCTTCTTCTCCCTTGTGCTTCTTTGGCTTTAAAATGGCGTTCAGATGGAATATATACAGTGGAAGTTTGTGGACCAGCACAGGGTCTATGGGCACCTTTCCTGCCTCAGTCACAAGTAATCCTGGCTACCACATAAAAGCACCTTGAAACAAATTGCTGTGTTCTAATAGACCAGTGGTTCCCAACCTTGGGTAACTTAGGTGTTCTTGGAGTGCAATTCCCAGAACCTTTCACCACGTGCTGTACTGGCTAGGATTTCTGGGAATTACAGTCCAAGAACACCTGCCTTACCCAAGGCTGGGAACCACTGTAATAGATCTTTACATAGAATATTGTCTTCTGTAAAAAAGAACATAAGGCCATTCTGTGTGAAAGACAACTGTAGAAGGAAGTTGGCAAAGCAACTTTGATGAATATTGCACTGATGGGTTCAGTGTGAAATGCCTGATACATCAGTCCCTTGGACTTTATAGAGCAGAGGGTGTTCTCTGTCTTTGGTGGTTAGACTGGGACCTGCCAGAGACAATACCTTTTCCATTTTGGCATCTAACTCCCTTGTGCCTTCCCCCTCCCCCATATATATAACATATTCACTGTTTTTCTGTATCTGTAATATCCTTTAACACTATTTGTGTCCTCTTTATATGTTTTTGCTGGTATTTTATTCTTTTCTTTCATCTGGACTTTTAATGCACCTGCCCTTTTTACAATGTTTTACCATATTGATTTGTAGTTCTATATTCTCGTTTGGTTTTGTTTTGTAAGTTTAATTTTAAGACACCTTGAGGCTGACTTGGTAATAACATTGGATGCAAATAACACAAACAAATAAGTAAGCAAATCATATGGGTTCAGGAAGAAAAATGGTCATTTTGTAATTTAATGTAATTCTGCATGTTTGTGCAAAACATATGGCATTCTGTGTAGCATGCTTTGTTTCAAGAGTTGACACTTTGCACAGGTGGTTGCAATTCAGTAAAATGTAGCCACAATTCAGTCCTCCTGAAAGGAGGGAGAGTTGTTAGAATTATATCCCAATCTTTTTGTCTCACTGAGAGTTCATAGTTAATCTGTCATGCCCATGTTTTCCTCCTGCTTTGTTCCTTTCCTCTTCTTTTATGATGTCCTCATACAAGTTCTCTCTTATTTCCTTCTTCCCATGTCTGGCTGCATCATTCCTCTCCTAATGTGTCCTTTGAAATTCTTCTGTGGTAGAACCTAATAAGAGAACCATCCAGCAAGGGCAAGGCAGGAGGAACCCCATGGGGGAGGCACAACCAGCTCCACTGGGTTCAGATCAGCGAGGCAGAAGATGGCTTGGTAACAATGACAGCTCCAGAGCTGACATAATTCCTCTGCACACTTGGGGTGTGTCAGGGAATGGGAGGGTGTGAGAGTCAGTCCGTCCAATACTTTCTTCAACATGTCCTGGCACACTCCCTTTCTTCAGTTATCACTGTAAGAGCAATGACAGAAGGAAGGTAAAGATTTCCATTATGGAATATTCTTCTTTTTTCGTTTTTGGACTCCAACTTCTGGAATTCTCCAAGAATTTCCCAGGCAGAATTCTGGATGTTTCAGTCCACAGACTCACACCTACAGACACTTACATTTTGCTCTTTTAGACTAAGGCCCACCTCATAGGCTGTGTGTGGGTATTGTAGAAAGAAAAGGGAAGCTGCTGTGATGCTTCCTGGGAGTTGTTGTGCTTTGGAAGATGCCATTTTAGAGCCTGAAAGGAAACACCACAACAGTTTCGTGTGTGTGTGTGTGTGTATTTTATATGCAGGAAGCAATGGCAGGCTTAGTCCATGCAGCCTCCAAGTTGGGCCCTGGTCCAAGTGAGGGACATGTCGGTATTTGTAGGTGTCTGTAAGTGTGGGTCTGTTCCAAGAATTCTGTCTGGGGAAATCCTGGTGACTTTTGGGAGCTGAAGTCCACCCGCTCGCCCCCAAAAACAAGGAAAAATCTAAAGAAAAAACAAATGGCCCATTATATATTAGTGATAAAAGAGTCCTGGACATGATTTACGTAGCTACCACGACCATGCTCAATAGTGGTCATATTGACTGGGGATTTTGTAATTCAGAAAAGTAACTTTCTCCATCAGGCTTGGCTTATGAAGTTCAATTTGAAGGTTTACACAGTTAAGTACACGCTCTTTCACATTCTCAAGCATAACAGAACTTCTTTCATCTGAAAATCATAGCTGTGAATCCTATATCACTGCAACCTTATGTAAAGAGCATTGAAGCTCATGTAAACTTCTGATTATAGAAATGTTTTATATATCCCAAGGCCCTGGATGATATTTGAATAAATAAGAGGTTTTCAGTATTTAATTAGCAAAATTCTTTTAGCCAGTTTTGTAACAGTCTGAGAATTTGTTGTCGTTTCCCTTATTCCAGAACAATGCATGCTTACTTAATTTGCTTTTCACAACTGAGAGTCTGAAATAAACTTTTTGATTTATTTTTGGCATAACAACTTGCTTGGAACATTTCTGAATATGAATACTAAGTGTATTACTGATGCTCCTTTCAGATATTAAAGATAATCATCACAAAGGTAGAAAAACATTCATGCTGACTCTATTTCTCTGGACCCGTCCTGGTTGGATTATATGCAGAGTTACTGGAAAACTATGAAAATTGGTATTACGGCCCTATAGCTTCAGTTATGTGGTGAATCTAAATTAGGAAAACAACTAAGAGTGATCTCATGAAGATGACCAAACTAACTTAGGATGGGATAGTTTGGTCTTTCATATCATTCTGTTAAGTGGTAAGAAAGATGTTGCCATGTCATGTGCAGATCTGTGGTTGCATGTGTGATAATACCCACTCTTCTTTTCATCTATTTATGTCCACTTTTGTCTCAAGTATAATTGAGGGTCAGTTTAAAGAAGAAATTAATGTATCATAGGAATTAGGGTGTTAAAACAGGAGCTGAGAGCTCCAAGTTCGTCTCCAAATAACCATGAACCTCATGGGGTGATTTTAGGCTAGTTGTTTTCTCGTAAGTCTAGCCTACTTTACAAAGTTGTATGAATGTAAAGTGGAGACGACAAGAGACATGTAAACCATCCTGAGGTGTTAGGAAAAGACCTGAGATACAAATGTAACAGGGAAACACATGCATATAGATAATAATAATTTCTATAACCAGATCATATGGCCACAGCCCTAATGGAAGCATGATGTTGTCATGGGAATGCCTATTTGATCTAAGTAGCCTATGGATATTACTGAAGAAACATAGGAGTCTGATGGTGCAGTGGTTAAACGGCTGTACTGCAGGTAGCCTATGGATATTACTGAAGAAATATAGGAGTGGTTAAAACCATGCTCACAACCTGGGGTTCAATCCCAGGTCATGCTTACAACCTGGGGTTCAATCCCAGGTAGCCGGCTCAAGACTGATTCAGCCTTCTATCCTTCCGAGGTCAGTAAAATGAATACCCAGCTCACTGAGGTCAATGTGTAGCCTGCATAATCAACTTGTGAACTGCCCAGAGAGTGCTTTAAGCACTATGTGGTGGTATGTAAGTAGCACACTCTGCTTTTTTGCTTTAGAAGTGATTAAATTGTTTTTAATTGGTGCAAGACAAACCATGAAGATATGTGAAAATTTATTCTGAAACAATGTCCCTGCTTAGCAGATCAAACAATAAAGAAGGATTGTCTCAGATTGCAGTATTATATAAAGTTTTCCAGCATGACACTCTGCAGCACCCATGATTTGCTGTGAACAATGGCTGTTCTGGTCTAACATGCTGGAAGGCACCAAGTTGTGGAAGGCTACTTCAAAGGAAGCAGCCAACGTAGGTGGCCCTTGTCTATTG